TTCTAACTAAACCGGGCGGAGCCGGGTATGCCAGCTAGTCCCCCATAAAAAACTTGTGGAGCACCGGTTTTACGGTTAATTTACGGTCAGTTTCTCCCCCTATCTCTTTTCTCCTCCCAGCTTTACTATTTTGTCAGAAGGCAATAGTTACCTCAGTAATATTTACATAACGACCCGGAGATGTAGCATCGCCTACGGTCAAGGTATTGTCATGGCTACTGTAACTGGGTGGCGGTGAGAGTGGTTTGGTATAGCAGAGCACATTCGTTGATCCTGCTCCGGTATCCCTGTAAGCAGATCGTTACCATAAGTAAAGCTTAGAAATATCCCTACCATCGTAATGGGAACATTGTTCGAGTAGGTGTGGGCGGAAGACTGCACTGACTACTCGAAGAGGATACCCCGCGAGTTCTGGGGGGTGCTAAAATATTCACGCTCGTTTCGTGCAAAGAGAAGGCTTAGCTAACCCTTACCGTCAATGAAAACCTCTTGAGGAGAAATGTTCACATAGGGGACAGAAAACACACTAGAACATTGGCTGGCTGCTGAACTTTTTCTGCCCAAAGTGGCATCATCCATAGCCGATGGATTTGTGTTTTCAGAGCTGGAAGCATCTGTGAATTGAGTAAAACTTCCCAGCGTTAAAAGGCGTGACTTACACAATATTTCCAACGATACGCTGGTCCACAAACGTATTATGACGATGTGGGTGGAAACTGTCAGGAGGCAAACATGCCGAGTCGGCTTCACCCACACTTCTAAAATTATGTTCAGCAGAGAATACCTGTGAAGCTTCAATTATAAGCACCACCGACCCCAGATGAGGGTGATGAGATTTTGATGTTATATAATTGCAGGACCTAACTAATCGCCCAAGTTCTGCTGCAGAAGATAACTTCCGAAACGAGAAAACTGCTCAAGAAGATAGAAGCGGCTAGGCTGGCTCCGCCCATCAGAGGACGGTCTGAAGATAACAAGACCAGAATTGAGTTTTAGTGTATCTAGAGTTGTCGCATCTCCGCCCTAAACTATGATCATTAGATTGCGACCTTTCAGTCTACCGAAGCCCAAATTCGGAATCATACTTTTCAGACCACCCACGTTGATGGGCGGAGCCAGCATGGTCTCTGCTACCTTCTGGAGCGGTCTTTTCGCTTCGAAATTCATCTTTTGCAGTGGAACTTGGGCAACTGCTCAGTTAAGGGCCCCGCTATTATAAAGCATCAAAATCTCGTCACTGTCAATTTAGATAACACGAACCTTGGTCGCGGTGGCGGAGGTATGACCACGTTGCGAAGTCGTTGTGCC